CTACCGAAAAAGGGGCCAGTGTAGACGTAGCCCTTGTGTGGGGCTAACAATAGCAGCTGAGATATTCAGGCTCCCACCAGAGTCTTGGTTCTGAGACAAAGCCCACCCCCCCCTTGCCCTTCACGGGGTCTCAGAGACCAGGCTCCAACCTGAATCTGAATGCTCACACTGAAATTTTACAGCCCTGCTGCCCACACCCACTGATCTGACCTCTGAGATGCAATGCCATGGGTTCTTTATTATAGTGGAGACATGCCCTAAAGTAGTTATGCTCCAGGACACTGTCACTCAGCTGGCATAGGACAAGATAGTTGAGAGCAATGCACAGAGCACAGTCAGCAGCAAAACACCAGTTGCAGAACACTTTATTGCAGGGGTGGACAATAATTGTTGATGTGGGGCCACTCCAAGATTTTGGAAAGTGGTCGAGGGCTGCACTCTTCCATATTAATGGAGGAGCTGCGAGGTCTGGGATGGAGGTTGGGTGAAGGAGGCAGTTATGACCTGGGGCAGGGAACTGAGGTGCAGGGATTTGGGTTGTGACCTAGGGCAAGAGAAGGTTGTGACCTGGGGCAGGGGATTGGGGTGCAGGAAGGGGTGGTGTGCCAGGTGTAGGCTCTGGCCAGGAGGCACTCACCAAAGAAGCTCCCAGTCAGCAGCCCTGTTGGACCCTCAGGCAGGCTCCCTGCCTGCTGCACCACATGCACACCACTCAAAGCGACCAGCTGTGGGGGGCCATGTGTGTCTTTGCGCATGTGCACCCCTAAGGGGGCCCTCCGTGCACTACCTATGCTGCAAGCACAGCCTAGGCAGCTCCCAATTGGCTGGTTTCTGGCCAATGGAAGCTGTGAGATTGTGCTAGGAGTGGGGGCAGTGTGCAAAGGCCCCTCCCAGGGGCATGTGGCACATAGAAATGCTTATGGCCCCTGCAGCTGTCTGCTTTCAGCGGCATGCTGAGGCATGGTGTGCAGAGGAACGGGCATGCAGGGAGTCTGCTTGAGGTTCCCGCTAAGCCGTGGCCTGGTGCTGGGCTGGATGCAACAGTTTGGTGGGCCAAATCCAGCCTATGGTCCATATTTTACCTGCCCCTGCCTTATCAGATGATCAAGAGCTCAATCCAGACCTCTGTCCCCAATGAGGACATCTCCAGGACCAACCCATTACTGGAGAGTTAAGGAAGAGGAAAGGACAAGAGGGCCACCCAAATTATACACAATTGGATGCTGTGAACATACTGTACTTTGATACTACAGTGATGGATGATCAAATACATTAATACACTGTACCTGCTACACATATAGGGGATGGCACTAGTTTTACTTCCTGTTGTCTCTCCGTGACCACCAAACGTTCAGCAGCAGTAGATTCCTTTGGCACTGCACAACTTTCATCTTCTCTTTGCTTGGTTTCTTTCATCTCTTCCTCTTTTACTACCATAGCTGGTGCCTCTAGTACTAGGCCTGTTGCTTCCATATAGTCTTCCACTGGAAACAGCTCCAGGATGGTCTCTTTTTCTTCATCTGTTAGTTCATGGCTAGCAGACTCAATCTCAGCAGTCATGGCTTCTGTATTTTGGTTGTCAGCTACCACCTCCTCTTCCTCCTCCTCTTCCTCAGAGTCAGAACTTGACTCAAATTCTGAGGAGTCCTCACTTTCATCAGATGATTCAGTTTCAGCTTTGGAAGATGTGGGACTCACTATACCTTCTGCAAGGATAAGATATTATTACTGACCTTTTATGACCTCATTAAACAATCATGTAACACCACAGAAATTAAATTCCCTAGATTGTGTTTTTGGAGAGTTTCCTCCTGATTTTCAAGGCTTCCTTCAGATAAAAATATGGCTCATTTTAAAAGAAAAGTCAGCGTGGGAAAATATTTTTTCTTGAATGATATAAAATGAAATAGTTCTCTGAAGTCCTGTGCTTCGTTCTCTGCTGAAGCTCTGTGCTCCCAGAGAAGAGCTTCTAGAAAGCATGGGAAATATTGGTGTTTGCTTGTGACCTGCTAGTGAGCGTGGATTAAATGCACAAGGGAAAACTATTCTCTACACCAGTGATGGGCAACTTAGGCTAGTGAGTGGGCCACATGAGGGGCCCTCCTTCATCTCACTGGGCTGCAAGATTGTCGTAACCAAGGCAGTCTCCCAGGATAGGGTAGTTTTGCTAACTGTGCTTGCACAACCAGAATTTGCACACATAGAACGCCGATTTGACCACCCCTGCTAACTGAGGCTGGGGAAAGGAGATTTACAGTGTATTTTAAAAACAAATTTTATTCTCAGTTTTTGATCTGGTGGGCTGTTATTGTTATAACTCAGAGATGTAAACTCAAACATGCAGAGTTAGAGCCAGTTCAATGACAGCAACCCTCTTGCATACACTTAAACAGGAATACAAGCTTAAGAACTGGCCTAGAGGAGAGCAATTCTACTGTAACAAAAATGTGGAGCTCAATCAGAAGCTAAATTCACTTTGTTTCTAGTAAGACTGCATACCTTCTTCAGAGTTCTGCTCATCTTCCTTTTCACTTGTTTCTACTCCTGTTTCTTCATCTTCATCCTCTTCATTAGCATCTTCCTCGTCGTCCTCCTCCTTTGGCATTAAATATTTTAGTATTTTAATGACAATTTCAGAAAAATATGCTGACATATTTTGGCTTTAATAAGTAAACCAAAATCTCAAACAGCACAGCAATGAATGCAGTATACAATCCTAAACGGACAATAATTCTAGGTGTACAATTTAATTCGCCTCAGAGGAGACTCTCCAGAGTTGTCCCCCAATAAGATCACATACAAGACAAACAAACAGATGGTGTTTGCCCACCTCTGTAAGGGTATGTCTACACTACAGCACTAATTCGAACTAACTTAGTTCGAATTAGTTAATTCAAACTAAGCTAATTCGAATTAGCGCATCTAGACTTAAAAACTAGTTCAAATTAGCGTTTTGCTAATTCGAACTAGCATGTCCACATTGAGTGGACCCTGAACCGGGCTTAAGGATGGCCGGAAGCAGTGCCGGCAGAGCATCAGGTTAGGACTTAGAGCGTGGAGCTGCTGTCTCAGGCTAGCCGAAGGCTGTGCTTAAAGGGACCCGACCCCCACCCCAGACAGACAGTT